GTCGCGCATGACCAGCGTGGGCGCAGCGCTGGCGACGGGGAAACCTCTGCTCGGCAAGAGGAGCTTCTCAGCGGAAGAGCTGTTGTAGGAGACCCCCACCCAAAGCAGGCTGCACCGGGGGGGTTCTTATTTAATGCAGAAACAAATGACAATTGGAAGCCAACTCGTTCGTCCCTGCTGCGGCCTCGCATTCCCCACAGAACACGCTATGGAATCCACACATATATTTACTCATTGAGTTACTATCTAGTTCTAACTACCAGCCACAAAGAATGGTTTTGAGCTGAATGATGGAGCCATGAAAACAGAATTTCTTGGCACTGAAGGGCAGCCTTTAACACGTGGGGGCCAACTCGTACGCCCCGCAACCGTGTCCTCCTCGCAAGCCATCTACCAACACGGCTGCTCGTTCTGTAACGGAGAAATCATTCTTACTTCGATGAATAACTTCAGATCTTATGACATGGAGAGGAAAGACACAACAATTCTGCTCTCCCCAGGATCCCAGTGGGTCCGTGGGCTTCTGGGCTTGTAAAGACCAGAGCTGGCTCACTGCAGAAGACACACAGACACACGACACACAGACATACAGACACACAGCCCTGGGCAAACCCATCTTTAGGAAGGACAGCTTCCCTGTGAGCTGGGTGAGCCCACCCAGGGAAGGGGCAGCGCGCGCGGGGGGAGGGCGGCAAGCGGCTCCGACAGCGACCGATGCCGAAGGAGAGAGGCGGTGGGAGAAGAGGAACCTCCTTCCACAGCGACCGGCGCGACACAGCCCTCGTCTCCGGCAGGGGACTGTCTCCAGAGACAAATGCAAGCGGAGGTGACGGTGACAGCGGAAAACGGGGATGGAGGTGAAGCGATGCCGGTGAGTATTAATAATTTCAAGTTCTTACTGCCTAGGGAAGTGGATACTTTTAGCTAAAGGCATTGCTCATATCTGAGAAATAAAACATCCTCCATCACAGTTATCACACAGAATCACACACGGCATGGCAGGGGCTGGCAGGGCCCTCTGTGGGTCACCCAGCCCAACCCCCTGCCCAAGCAGGGTCACCCACAGCAGGCTGCACAGGACCTTGTCCAGGC